CTGGGATACGTTGGTTATGTAATAAACAATGAGGATATTAGGAAACTAGTCGTCACTTAGTGCTTGGAATTCACTAAAACGTTTGGTACAGTACGACACTCATTTCTTTTGTGTGAATTAAAGGCACTCGAGGTAACGGGTAAATTCATAACTAGATCCCACCCTCCTTAAAGGACCGATCACAGATAGTGAAAATAGGACCCACAGAATGCGACTGTGTCTTCCAGGGGTTAGTCATAGGACTCCTATCGTTCATTGTATTTGTTGATGACACCCTCGATAGCTTTACGTTTGGCCAAAGCATGGTTTCTTTCTTCTGTTACACAAAATCTTGGGTACATATATCTTTCTGCGTACTGAGTTTATCCTACCCTACCCTGACCTTCGGAATATGTCATTAGTAAATATTTAGTCATGTTCGACTGCAACCCAGTTCAAATCTTCTCTGAACTGCTTTATGGACCGATTCAAAGTTTCCTACATGCTCTGTATAGCCCATCTAAATGAAGCTATACTTAACAATGTGCCACACAACATCCAATCTTGTGAAAAAGCAACCTGTTGACAACCCTTGGTCACTTCAACAACCACAAATTGTTCAACTTCCTGTAGCCTCTAGTTCACATGCACTAAGCAGTGCAATTATTATTTTTATCATGGATGAATCTTTTCACTAGGTGTTCACTTCTTTTCTTTCTCTTCTTTCCCTCTAAATAAATATTATTCTTAATATTACGAAGTTTGTAATTAAAACAATAACTTGTGTTACACTTTAATTAACTTCTCAGATTCGTTTCATCTTCACTATGCATATATGACTCATACATAGTGATATTTTATTATACTTTTCACTAAATTGTGACTTTCATCGCATCACTCTAAATTATAACTGCACAAACATTTATTCTAGTGTCATATCTTACTACATTGATAAATTATTTTTTCTTACTAATTTAACGATACACACATAGTCGTTTATTCTTGTTTTGTGTTCATAAACACCCCTATTAGACTGTTTGCGTATTTCAGGTCTCCTTTATTTCTATTCCCTTATTTTCTCCATTTCCTTCTTTAAACTCAATTCAATATTCTTCTCAATTACAAAGACCCCATATATTATTATTAATATTCTACTATTATTATTCTCAATTTTTTATTTTATTTTTATTATTATTTTTTTTAAATATGGCAAGTATAATGCTAACATTATTGAAAATTGTGTATTATTGCATTTTCTGAAGAAACCCGAAATGGTTTCTTCACAACACTTATGTACCCATAAGATGTTTGTGAATAATAATAATAATAATAATAATAATAACACGCTTTTTATCCGTTTCCCTTTTTTATGCGTCGTGCTCCTTTTTCATAACAATTGAATGATCGTGCCTCTTGAGTTTTTTATTCATTTCCACAAGATGTAGCTCGGCCACTAATGATATTTTTCACCCTGGGCCCCAGAAATAAACTGTATCCTGTCTACACGAAACCTAGTGCAACTAGCGACTACTCGAGTAGATATTCAGAAACACTCAGAAAGCGTCCACAAGAACCATTGTTAACCATAACAATGTTAGTCCCGTCTTTTTATCGTATCTGTCTTTGTCTAACCATTTTCTCTCGAATCTTCCCTCATTTCCTTAAAAGTATTAGATTCTATTTTTTTACCTAAAAGTTTGTTACTGATAGCTCCTTTTGTTTGGAAACCCATACTTCATCTTATGCTACTGTTTATTAATCCTTATTTTATTAACTTTACTGAGCATTTGCTCTATCTATAAACACTTATTATAAACCTTATTGTATCCTATTGATTATACCTGAATCCAGAAATATATATTGTGGTGGTTTGTTGATCTCATTCTACACCAAGGCGCTAGATGAAACTGTTAGAAGTATTGAGTCATCCCCATCAAAGTACAATAGATGTATTTTATCTGTTTACCCACCTCGTTATGGCGCTTGAGAATCTCACCCGCTTATATCTGAGTTTTTCAATAAGTGTATTTCATTGACGATTATTTTTGTTCATATTTGGTCCATTGACCACTGGGTGGCCCTAGTTTTCTCCACTTCAGCAGTCAATCATCAACCAAAACTGAGCAGCAGTTCCTCTTGACAGTTAACGTGTGACCTCGAAATACGAATTTTGAACACATGTAATATAGGGAATTAGAGGGGATAAACTCAGTAAAGCATACAGAATTAAATCTCCCTAGAGTCAATTTCGCGGAAAATACGTATATTGGAGGTGAAAACTCAACTGAAGCTCCGTTCTTCAAACTCATTGAGGATTTGGGATTATTCGAAAATGTGGAGTCGGCAACGCATTGTGGAAACAGCCAGACGCCGTCGCGCTGAGACTCGGCATTTACAAACGAAGAATTACTAGTTGACTACCTCTCAATCCTGGATCCCCTGGGGGAAAGCGATCACGGTGTCATAGCCTTCGGTTCTATCAGCAAAGCTGAGCAAGGATATCACACCAACAACAGGCAATGGAATTTCGAACGGTAGAATGTGCCAACTTTACAGGAACATCTACAACAGGTGGATTGGGATGTTCACCCTCAACTTGATGTCGATGCTCATTGGGACTTCTTACTGCACATGCTACAAAGCAAACAGTTCCTCAAATGGTCCACAAAAGCTACAAGCAACCTACAATCATCAAGAGCCGCATTCTTCGCCTACTAAACGGCAAAAGTCACTGTTGGGCAGAATACGAACGAACTGGCAATACAAAAATATGAGGAAAATATGCACAAAGGCAGTAAGCGAAGACAGGCTTCAGTAACGGATAAAGCTTATCGATAAATTTATCTCCAATCCGAAAAGCTTATTCCGTTATGCAGCCTCTCTTCGACAGTCCAAAACTGGAGTTTCCCAACTGATAGGTCCTAATGGCCTGATTAATAACGACGGCGACGCCGCTAACCTTTTGGCTGGACTATACTCTCGGACATTTCAATCGGCCCACATCAACTATATTGATGAAAGCTTCACAGGACTTTCCAAAGTAAACCTGAGCTCTGACTTGTTGTATCCGGAAACTACAGCACGTAAAAAAAGACACTTCCCCTGGCCCGGATATAGTTCATTCTGCTATACTGAGGGAGGCAGCTTCACTCTTGGCAGCACCGATTAGCGTGATGTTCTCACACTCGCTAAGCCGAGGCAAACTACCGGAAATTTGAAGGCTGGCTCACATCACACCAATTTTCAAAGGAGGTCGACGCAGCGAACCTTCAAGCTACCGACCGGTGGTTCTTCTCTCTATACCTTCAAAAATTGTGGAGTCGGTGATATGCGATGCTATACACGACTATTTATTATCCTTAAACTTATCTTCACTCTAACAGCATGGTTTCAGGAAGTTTCATTCTTGTATGACCAACTTGCTGACTGCGGTGGACAGATGGACAACCATCCTTGATCGCAAGCTTAAGGTTGATGTCATTTACCTTGACTTCTCAAAAGCTTTTAAAATGTCCGGCCACACATGTCTTATTATTAGGCTCAAACGATTGGGTATCAAATCACCTGTAATTGATTGGCTCACTTCATATCTAAAAAATCGACATTTTAAGGTCAGGGTTAACTTCACTTCCTCTCAGACTATGGAATGTCCTAGTGGGGTCCCTCAGAGCTCGGTACTAGGACCTCTTCTTCTTTTGATTTATATAAACGATCTTCCACAACAGGTATCGTCAGACTTATTACTTTTTGCCGACGACGTGAAGCTTTGGAGAGAGATACGCAACCAAGACGATATACAGGCACTTCAGGAGGATCTGACTCGACTTCAAAGTTGGGCGCATGACAACAGACTTATCTCCAACACTTCAAAATGTAAAGTAGTCCATCTGAGACATTTTTCAGACTGCAACTACAACTTAAGAAACTCCTCTCTAGAGGTATCTCAAGTTGAAAAAGATTTAGGAGTGCTGGTACCCTACGATTTGAAGTCATACTCTGTGACAAAAATGCCTTTCGAGAAAATCTTGCACTGGTAACATTGAAGCGCATTCTTGGCCAGTTTGACAGGAAAACTTTCCACATAATCTTCAACAGTTTTATTCGTCCCCATTCAGAGTACGGAAACCTTGTATTTCCTCTCTCACTCCAAAAGGATAAGGACACTCTGGAGCGTATCCAACGGCGAGCCACGAAATCAGTTCTGGGACTCAAATTCAAGCCTTATGAAGGGCGTCTCCAATCACTTGACCTTTGCCCATTAGAGTATAGGCGTCTTAGATGTGACCTAATGGCTTACAGTATCATTAACACTTCTGGACATCCCCCTAAACACCTACTTAAGCTCAGTCCCATTACAAATCTAGGGGGTAACACCCAGAAATTGGAGATACAACATAGCAGAATGGACTGTAGACACAACGTCTACTCCTTAAGAGTTGTCAAATGCTGGAATTCGCTGATGACTGAACTAGTGCAAGCGGCTTCCCAGGAGTCATTTAAGAGGAAACTTGACCTATTCTTAAGGACTAAGGATAATATCTTACTATGATTTACCAATTTCTTTTTTTTCTAATCTATTATGGTTAATATACCTAGGTCCCTGCCTTGGAGTATTGGTGATCCACTGCTACTAGGCACGGAAACCCGTTAAATGGAAGCTTCTTCTATTCCGTCCACAACCATTTGAACCATTTTAACTATTTGTTTATTCAAACACCTCATCGTTTCGGTATTTAGAAACTAATTAGCACGTAGTGATTATTGTGTCCCATGCAGGGTTTGTGCTTTGATATATCATATTGTCCTTTATGACCACATTTTGTTGTATCTGTATGCAGGATCAAAATAAGCGAGGGTTTTGAAGCAATGATTTGCATGTTTATCTCTTTGAGAGGAATTAGAAAACATCGTTGATGAATTACGGTAGTTGAAAGATATAAAAACTTCAATACTATCTAGTCACAAAAACACAGGATTATACAGAGTGTCTTGTTTAAAATAGTCTAGTTGTCCAGTGGTAAATGAGTAGTGCAAAACATATCAAGGGTGTCTGCAGTCCCCTTCAAGGTCAGCATATTAGTATGGGTCATCGTTTTCCTTGTGTGCTTTTAACTTACCACAATATGCAGTTTTTGACCGAGCATCTAATGACACAAGTTAATATTTTAATGTCTCGATGATATCGCCATTTATCTAGTGTTGTGGTTTAAAGCCTACTTGGTTTCCAGCCGTGAGAAAATAGTGAGACTTTGCTATTTTTGTCTTCCTGACATAGCTATTTCGCTGAATTTTCAGCGGAGTGTCTGCTTTTCGCCTTAATATACAACAAGATTTCAACCTGTAATCTACATTTACGCCAGATAAAATGCAGTCTTTCGGTAGCACTGAGCAACAATGCCAGGATGTTTGGGATGCGTTTCTTCCCCTCTAAATACAAGTTGTTGCTTCATGATTGGCCTGCGTCAACACCTGAACTAAGGATAGGGAATGAAGTAGTCGAACGCGTTGACAACTTCACTTATCTTGGAAGTCTGATCAGCCATAATGGGGTGGTGTCTGACGAAATCTCAGCACGGATTCGGAAAGCTCGTTTGGCTTTTGCCAACTTACGTCACCTATGGCGAAGACGAAATATCCGTTTACCAATTAACGGACGAGTATATTGCACAGTAGTTCGTTCTGTTCTATTTTACGGCTGCGAAACATGGCCATTAAGAGTAGAAGATACTTGTAAGCTACTAGTATTTGACCACAAATGTCTTGGAAATATTTCCCACATCTGCTGGGATCATTGGGTTAGTAATAGTAAGGTTAGACGCAGGGTATTAGGGAGTGAGGGTAAATCAGTTGATGGGGTTGTGAATCTTCATCGACTGAGATGGTTGAGCCACATGTTACGTGTGCTTGAACACCGATAACCACGACTCACAATGCTGACTACTGTTGAGGATGCTTGGAAGAAAGTTAGGGGCAGTCAAACCAAAACATGACATCAGTCCATAAAGTCAATAACTTCTGGTCTGAGCCGTGTTGGTGGATGTAGGCTACTTTGTTGGGGTCTACGCGACTATCGCAACCAATGGTTGGAGATCCTGTGTGACATGGCTCACAATCGCGTCGGTGTATACATTCCCTTGAACTGTGAGATCGAAATAGCTTCATATGTCCCTTTCTATGAACTATTTCCTTCTTTCTATACTATATCCTTACATAAAACCATTCTTTTATATATCACACCATTGAGTTGACTGCTTTTATGAATCCGGTGTTCGTCTTGTTGTGTTAATGAGGTATGGTAACTTGTACCAATGCATATATGTGCCTGGTCCGACGTTGTAGATGACTGACCAAATAGCCTTCTACTCACTTAAACGTCCGCGAAGTTCACTCACTACTTTGTGCTCAGTCCAAATGTTTCCTTTGTTTGCCTATATTTTTACTACAAAATTAACGTTCAAACACTAGATTAATTTTCTGAAGTTTAAACCTGGGTAAAGACACTGATTTACAGAAAATGAGATCATAGTTTACAAAGAAACTAATAACACTCCGACGTTTGCCATACATCTTTGTCAATGCAAAGTTTGTTTGTTTTTAACCAAGACCTGCAACAACGTCATAGTTGCCTGTTGACATTATTTATTAGGGATGTGTCTTAGTTTTCAACCCAATATGGAATCATACACGCTGTCACTACATACGTCTAATTTTCCTCAACGTACTGTATGTGAGATAGTAGATGCATATATAAATGGCAGTCTGTTGGAAAATTAGGATTAAAATACAACCAATTTTAAAAACCGGTAGGGCTCCATTGCTACATCGATTTTACTATTCAGAATCTTAGTATCCGTCTTTTAAATTCTGGAATTTAAAACGAACGAAACTTTATGATAATTTCACTTCCGTACTTTTTGTTACCAACACCTAACTGCATAGTGTTCGTTAACAATAGACACCACCTATAGAAAAGCAATCAAGGTTTATTATCTAGTTATAACTTACGTTCATTTCCTTCTATGAGTTTGTATCTCATGTCATAGAAACGACCTTACATTGACATATCAAGATTTTTGAGGGTCTTTTTGTGTGTCACCTAATGATAAACACCATAGTGCTAGTGCACCCAATGATTAAAAAGAAAAACGTACACTATTCGTATGCTGCCATAAGACTTACACCTCTGAAATGCCCTTATAGATGTAGTACCAAGTAGCGTACAGTGGCTAACAGCTTCAGGCTTAATGTTTATTTATTTATTTATTTATTTGAACACATGAATATTGGTACAAGAGAGCGCCAATATATATGCGCCACACAAAACAATGAAAATTCGAAGAGAAGTACAAAAAAAAACAACTAAGGAGCGCAAAAGAAAAAGAGAACAATAACGAAGAGATTGGTGTAAGGTAATGTGCTAGTAATCAGGGAACGCAAAGGTACAATCGGAAGAAATCTTTCAGGTAACGGAGACACTACCACTTTTTATGAAGAAAGTAAAAGGTTACAGCAGGATCGCCACTGGCTTCTATTCTCAGCCATATCTGATAACGTCTCTAGCCACTCTGTTGCACCATCTCTCAGACCCCAACCAGGGAGTCGTGAAGGACCAACACAAGCCAGTCCTTTGCAGCTTTCTTTCATGCCACGACACCATGTCATGCACTGACCACCTCTCCGCTTCTTCCAACCAGTCCCAGATTCGGCAAATAATGCACGACGTGGAATCCTCTGGGACGACATTCGGAGAACATGTCCAAGCCACCGAAGTCGGTGTTTCAAGATGGTGACACCAATTCCATTATCATCTCTGTGCCCGAACACACGATGCCGAACCTCTGCATTACTGACATGGTGTTGCCACTGAATGTCAGCAATCCTTCGGAGACAGCGATGATCGAACACAGAGAGTCGTCTAACGTCCTCAACTCGGAGAGACCAGGTTTCACAAGCATAGAGAAAAACTGCTCTCACCGGCGCGTTGTAAATCCGACCTTTTACGGCCAGACTAACATCACGAAGGCGCCATAGATGGCCCAGATTGGAATAAGCCGCTCTGGCTTTCACTATTCGTGCATTGATCTCATCACTCACACCCCCACCAGCACTTATGCAGCTACCCAGATACACGAACTTCTCGACTACTTCTATCTGTTCACCGTCCAGGGTGAGTACAGGATTAGAATCCTGCCAGTCTTGTAGAAGTACTTTGCACTTCGAAGGTGCAAAGCACATACCATACCTACGGACACTGATTGCCAGCTGATTAAGTGCGGATTGCATGCCTTGGGCATTATCGCACAGTAAGACAATGTCGTCCGCATACTCAAGGTCGAGAAGTCTGTCTCCAGGCAACAGATCCACACCGCCATTACTTACATTCATCAGAGCTGTTTCCAGAATGTCATCGATGGCAAAGTTGAAGAGGAATGGTGAGATTGGGCAACCCTGCCTAACCCCACTACTCGAATGGAACAACGGAGAGAGGTGGTTGTATGCCCTCACTCTGCCTAAGGTGTTTGTATATAGGGCTTTTAGGATGTTAATAAACTTCTCAGGGACACCCTTCTTCCATAGACAATCCCAGAGAACAGTCCTGTCCAACGAATCGAAGGCAGTCCTGATGTCAAGAAACACTACGATTGTTGGCCTTTGATAAGTATGGCGGTGTTCTAACATTTGGCGGAGGGTGAAGATATGATCAATACATCCTCGACCAGAACGAAACCCAGCCTGCTCCTCGCGAGTCAATCTTTCTCGGGTTTTGAACAACCTACGAAGTATGACGGAAGCCAATAGTTTGGACGCAATCGGAAGTAGACTTATCCCCCGATAGTTGTTACAGGAACGACGTGAACCCTTTTTAAAGACAGGGACAACTATCGACTCATTCCATGACGTTGGTACACTCTCTAGTTCCCAAACCTTTGTAAACAACGTCGTCAATTCCTTAGTCAAAAAGTCACCACCATCTTTAAAAAGAGCCGGAGGTAAGTCATCTGGACCAGGTGATTTGTAGTGCTTCGAGAGTTGGAGTCCCTTGCGAACTTCCTCCTCGTTTTGGTGGATCAGTCGTCACCGGCCATGGTGGGCAGGACAGTCTGACCGATGTTGCCGGAGCAGCAGGCCAGTTGAACTGCCCTTCGAAAAATTCTGCCCACCGTCCAAGACGTCGATGGATGTTAGTGATTGGCATCCCATCATCCTCGCAGATTGTTTCACTCACACCAGACTTCTTGCTGCCAGTGGCTCGGATGAGCTGGAAGAGCTTCCGGTAGTTACCAGATGCAGCTGCTGCTTTCAGCTCATTAGCACGCTTCGACCACCGGGCTTCTCGGTCCTTACGCAAGCTTTGCCCAATTTCCTTACATAACATCCTTCGTTTATGGTCAAACTCACGGTCACCCGGAGTAGACCGACGGGCTTCAATGAGTTGTAAGGAACCTGCAGAAACCCAGTGCTTAAAAGCGGGACGTTTCTCAAACCCACAACTGACTGTTCCCGCCATTTTCATGGCGTCATGCAATTGCAACCAATGCTCATCTATACTTTTCGGTGGAGTGGTATCTAGCCTAGAGGCTAGCTCGGTTCGATACTTACTTGCAACAGAAGTTGCAACCAACTTGCTAACATCAATCTTTTGGTGGTGGTCACTCCGTTGGCCACTGAAAAGGTAGGTAAGATTGGCGCAGACCAAGGCATGGTCAGAGTCCAGATAGGTACTCGAAAAGGAGCGGCAGTCTTGTACACAACCACGCCAGCGGTAGCTGATCGCGATGTGATCAATCTGAGTCCAGGCTTGAGATGCAGAGGGAGGACGCCAGGTAGCACATCGGCGATGACTGTGCCGAAAGTTAGTGCTAGCCAGAAACATGTTGTGGTCTGTGCAAAGTTGCAGTAGACGGTCCCCGTTATCTGACCTGCGACCAACGAGTCCCCATTGGCCACCTAAACGACTCTCTTCTGTGCCTAGACGCCCGACCTGAGCATTCAAGTCTCCGGCTAGTACTACAATATCTGTCGAACGCACTTTCTGGAGAAGAACAGATAACTGGTGGTAAAACTCA